AAAAAAAAAAAAGAAAGGGGCTGCCCCACTAATAGCTTTTGCTTCAGTAAGCTCCTGAGTCAGCCACTCAGCCATTCTTCCATTCAGCCAGCCAGTGTCACCTTGAGTGCCTACCATGTACCAGGTACAGTCTGGTCTAAGGATTCTGAAGTGGCTAAGACAGCTTCTGCCCTATGGGAACTCCAGGAAGCGGGCAGAAGATAAGACGAGCACCTGTACCCCAGTGACAGGAGGCCAGGGACCAGCATCCTGTGAGAAATACAGGCAGAGGACAGGGACGTGAAAGGCAGGGGTGAGCACATCTGTTGACAGGACGGGAGCAGAGAGAGGGCCGCAGCTGAGGGCAAGCCAGGGTTCAGTGCGGGGGCGGAGAGCCCAGGTAAGAGGTGACTTATATATTCCTGGGTTTGTGGGACTTTGTAAGGCCCCTCTTATTTTTCCCCTTTCCCATTCCTGTTCCCTGTCCCCCCCAAAGCCTACGCTATACTGCATTCAGGGTACCAGTGTTTTGCACTGATGTGGGGACTGGGAGACAGGAACTCTCACATACCAATTTGACTAGCTCTACTTAGTTCAATTAAGGGTGCAAATACTGCCCTCCAACCCCTGCCATGCCACTCCTAGGCTTAGGTCACACAGGTCTCTACGTGGGCTCATACAAAGTCACTACCCCTCTCTGTGCCTTTGTTTACTTGCCTATAAAATGGGGGTAATAATAGTTCTTCATAGGGTTGACGTAGGAGATCTAGGGGCTAAGAATGGTGCCTGACACATGGGGAGAAGTGGTGTGAAAATGCAGGTGTGGCTGACCTGTGATGGTGGCAGCTGGGGGCCACCTGGGCATCCCTTAGAGCCCCTAACTATGGCCACATAGGCAGTACATCACACAACTCTAGGGGGCGCCATTTATTTAGTCAAGGTTTTTATTTTTCTGAAACCCCTTACCAGCTCCATCCCTCAGACTAATAAAGTCAGCTTCCTCTTCACTCTCAGAATTTGGTGGCCCACCTCTTGTGTTACAGCTCACTTTCCACTTGTGGTTAGTAGAGACAAGTCTGATTGCCCCCACTGGAGGGCCAGATGACCCCTCTCTCATCTCTGCATCCCCCACTAGTTCTCCCACCATGCCTGCCATATGCAGGTGCAAATTCATTATTGGTTGGATGGATATTTTCTGAAGCACAAAATGGGCGAAGAAACAAAATTTTCCAGTGGGTGTGGAAGGCAGCCAAAGCCATCAAAGTCAGTGCATAGCAGAGAAAGTTTATCAGGTCACTCCATGAAAATAACACACTGCAGAGGATCAGAAAGCTTTGGAAAAAAAATCTTTCCTCTCCTTTGAATTGTCAGTAGCTGGGTCAGCAAATATGTCCAGGTACCTCAGATCTCTAGAGATAGTATCTACAGAAATAACAAGATAACTCGACGCGGGTGTCTTTCACTCAAAGATGAAAACTCTTTAAAGGCAGGATGGAAAGCAGAGAAAAGAAAGCAGGGTTTGGAGAAGTTGACTCCATCGTTTACTAGCTATGTGATCTTGGGCAATTTCTAAGCATTTCTGATACATCCTTTCTCCCTCTGTAAAATGAAGAAACTACCCGGGGCTGATGTGACAAATAAATACAATCTAATGTATAAAGTAGAGGGCACCATGCTTGGCACCTGGTAAGAGCTATACATTTTCCAAAAAGACAGGGCTGAACTTTCCTCGCTCTTGTGCATTGCCACTGGGCACAGCAACCGTGAGCTGAACCACTGGATAAACATCCCCAGAACCTTGTCTTCTCTAACTATTGAGCCACTTAGATTCCACTGGCAGTCAAGGTCAACCAACATCAGAGGAGCCTTGTGTAACACAGAAAACCTGGATTTGTGGACAGTTCTCCTGTGCTTCTAGCACTGGCTCAAAGCAAAACTTATCTTCCGCTGAAACAAAGGTAAAACTGCAGTCTGTCTGAATTCGGCAGTGAAGATCCTGTAAACTGAAGCCATTTGGAAACAGAATGCAAATTGCAACTGTAAGCCATTAATATTTTTAATAAAATCCTAAATTATATGAAAATGTAAATAATGGCACTCATAGAAAATATCTATACAGAAGAAAGGATTACATAATGCATGCTGAATTCCTAAAAGCGACCATGTCAAGAACCAAGCTGAAGAAACACAAGTGACCCCAATGATACCCAGTTCCCACTGGGTCATTACTGGTAAATGTAAATGCCTGCCATTAATAGGTGAAAACCCTAGCGCCACATGTCATATCAGAGCAAGAACTTACTGAAAAAGAACTTACTAAAAAGCATCTTCTGCTTCTAATGCAAACTCAATCATATGATCTGCCTACAAAGAAACTCAAACTGCATTCTCTCCATTAGCAGAAAAATATAAACTTTTACTCCAGATGTATTTAACAACTTCACTTTGTTTTTTTGAGATGGGACATTGGAAGGTAAGGAAGAAAATTTAGAAACTATATTTTTAAAAGGCTAGTAAGTTGATCCTAAAATAATGTGCAAACAACTCATGCATGCCACCCTCCTCACTGTTTTATCAGAAGTCCACTGGAGACACCTAACGACCCTCTTTGCCCAGTGGGCCTCATACCTTGGTAGAGCAGGTTGGCTGGGGGTTGATCAGCGCCGGCCACTTTGGAGGACATTTCTGGTTCATAGCCTACTGGCAAGTTGTCCAACACGGCACTGGAGTGTCTGGTGGAGCCCAGCCACAGGTACACGTCAACTTTCGCTTGCACTGACCAACCAGCTGGCCGTTTTCCAGGAAGCTGGGGAAAGGTTACAAGGAAGACCGCTTCATTAGTAGGAGCCTCACTCTTCAAGAAAAGAGGTCCTCTGTGGATCTGGGGACACATCCAGGGCAGGTATTCGGAGAACAGCTCTCAGGACCTAATCTGATATCAAAATGAGACTCACGACCCCCCAGTTGCCACCATGCACCATTCCAGAGGAGTATCCAGGTTTAGCGGGGCCTGAAGCTTAAATAGGCACTTCTGAGCCCTGGATCATTTAAACCTAATGGAAAGGTATGATTATTGCTCCCTGTTTTATGTAGAGGAAACTCAGGCTCAGAGGGGTTAAAGAAGTTCCCTAAGATCACTCAGCTTTCAAGTGACAGAGCCAGCACCAAAACCCAGGGGAGATAGTTCCAGAGCTAGATGCCGGTCTCTGTACCCCCACAGCTTGCCTCTTCCCAAACTGAGTTGAAACCTCCCTTTCCAGAACTGCCAAGCACCTGGAAGTCCAACCACAGCCTCCACCTCTTTGCTTCATTCAGAAGGACTCAAGTGCTTCTTCCATAGATCAGGCCTCCATGTGCTTGAAGGGACCTCTACTGTGTCCTTCCTTCCTGGCTAACCATCTCTAGTCCCTTCACCCCTTCCTCATGCAGCATGGTTTCCAATTCCCTTTCTACCCTGCATTCTCTCCTTTGATTTTTTTGTTTTGTTTTGTTTACAGATTTTATGTATTTATTTGAGAGAGAGAGAGAGAGAGAGAGAGAGCACGAGCAGAAGCAGGGGGAGCTGCAGGGCAGAGGGAGAAGCAGGCTCCCCACTGAGCAGGGAGCCCGACGCGGGGCTCGATCCCAGGACCCCAGGATCATGACCTGAGCTGAAGACAGACGCTTAACCAACTGAGCCACCCAGGCACCCCCCATTCTCTCCTTTGAATGTACTTGGATTTGGATTTCTATTTATGTTTGTTAGAATCTGTGTGTTTATGTGTGTCTTGGTGTAAGTGGTATGAGTGTGTGCATATACAGGTGCATGTGTTCTCAAGATATGGAGGATACAACTTAATGCAGTGTGGCTTCTTTATTTCTTAGTCACCAGGATTAGGGGACTCCTTCCCCCAACTAAGGAATCCCAAACCCCAGACTTGGCTGTGTTCAGGATTGCTGGCAAGACCTTCATTCTGAGAATAGTTACCTCTCCAGAATTTGTTGACTCAGCTAAGTGTCTCTTAGTGTTTCTACGGATTTCCTATCAATAGTTTCCCCTTCCTTCCACACCACTTCTTTTCCAGAGAGAATCACAAAATCCTACGTGAGAGGCTACAGCTTGCTCTGACAGTTCCCAAGGCACCCGTGGAGAGCACCTAAATCCAAAATTGAGCGTGGTTGTTTACCTTTCTATCTTGCACTGTGGGTCCTTTAAATGGATTTTCAGCCACTCAATTCAGCACCTGCCTGAAGTGCCATTAGGCCTTACTGAGGCAGCGGGGTCAGGAGGGCATTACAATGACTAAGACACACTTCTGGGCCCCCCTTCATTAGCTCACATCTAGACAAGGAGACTAACTTTAATTCATTTATTCAAGTGCAAAGTCAAGGGTAAGAGAGAAAAGGCTAAGGGAGCAGAGAAGTAGTAGCAGGGGTTTCCATCTTTTCTTTATGAGTCAAATATTTCGCTGGGCTTTAAATGGGTGCTTCAGGAGTTGGACCAGTGGAGAAGGCATCCCAGGAAAAGGGAAGGCTTGAACAGAGGCACAGGGGCAGGAACTAACAGTGGTAACAGAGACTCACATTGAGTGAGCGCTTATTCCATACCAGGAAGGGATTTGCTAAAAGCTTTCAGAGAAGAAAGAGAATGACACAGACAAGGATGAGGAATCCTGCTCATTATGTGGACAAGAGATGGTAATTCACACATACTGTGCTGAACTTGGTCAGCGGGTACTAGAAAGAGAGGATGCACTTGCCTTGTAGAGGTTTCAATCTGTGGCGGGACCCAGCCACCACTTTGTGCTGCATCCTAGGGAAAGCTGGATTGAAAGTTGGGGTCCAGAGAAGTGACTGGACTCAAGAGGAGGGGCTCCCTGGAGTCCAGCTGGGGTGGACTCACAGGGAGCTGAGCAGGGGATTTCATAGGAGCGGAGAGAAAAGGAAGGTGGAGCGCCACCTCCCCGCTGGGCTCTGAGTGCATCCAGCTCTTTCCACACATAGTTTCCTTTTGGTCATGAATGTCCTTTCCCACCCTATGGCCACTAAGGATATGGTGGAGATGAGACCCAAGCAGGAGAGCTCTGTTCTTTTGGAGGGTGGATTGGGCAGAATTGGGCTCAGCAAATTTTGTTCCAGAGATTCCGTCCTGTTCACTCTAGCATTATGAGTATATTAAAATTAGAAAACAAGAAAGATCATGGAACCAGGGACCATGATTTACTATTACAATTTACTATTTATTTGGCCATGTGGCTTCAGAGGAGGCACTTTGATTTCCTCTAGATTAATATTCCCCAAACTGGGCCCCTAGTAAAAGGAGTTTCCTAACCTTTGTAAATGACACTTCTCTGAAGAAGACATACAACTGGCTAACAGACACATGAAAAAGTGTTCATCATCATTAGCCATCAGGGAAATTCAAATCAAAACCACACTGAGATACCACCTTACACCAGTTAGAATGGCAAAAAT